GAAAACTACAAAGATACAGAAAGCATAATAACGCAGTTAAATAGAGCAAGATTTTAGCTACTTACAATTATTTTTTCACATAATCACCACCATTGGTTATGCACTTTTGCCAGCGATGAACAACAGCTGTATGCTGTGCCCGTAAAAGTCTGCACCAGCAGAGGCTAGCCACTTTCTTACAGCTGTCTGGAAAATGTTGCCCACATAGTCCATCATTCATAGGCTCAAAGAGATGGAAGTCTGAAGGTGCTAAATCGGGACTATAAGGTGGATGTGGTAGGACAGTCCAGCCAAACTTTGCAAGGTGCGCGGTGGTCGCCAAACTGGTATGGGGTCTGGCGTTATCGTGTTGCAAGCGAAAGGTTGTCTGCTTCTCTGGCCTGATTCGGGAAATGCGGGCTTTCAGTTTAGTCAGCGTCATCTTGTAGCGGTCAGAATTGACAGTCTCACCAGGCTAAAGGAAATCCAACAAAATCACACCCCACCTATCCCAAAAGACCGTGAACATTTCTTTCCCTGCCAATGGCTGTGTCTAGAACTTTTTTCTTGAGGAATCCGGATGTCGCCACTCCATGGACTGTCTTTTGGATTACGGCTCGTAGTGGTGACACCACGTCTCATCTCCGGTAACGATGCTGTCCAGAAACTTGTCACCATCAACCTAAAACTGGTTCAACAGGTCCTGACAGACTGCCATTCGATGAGTTTTGTGGTCCTGTGTAAGCATCCTCGGGACCCACCTGGAACAAACTTTGCGATAGTCCAGCTTCCCCAACATCGTTTCCAATTCAATACAGCCGATATTAAGCCGTGCACACAGCTCCCTGGTCGCTATCTGCCGATTTGTGCGGATGAGCTGATCGAGGTGCTGTTCATTGTGAGGAGTGGCAGCTGAGCAGGGACGCTCACGGCGTGGCTTGTCGTGCACCTCACTTTCGCCACTGTTGAAACGCACTACCCACCGCCTCACTGTGCTGACATCCACTGTATCGTCTCCGTACACTTTTAGCAAGCGTCGATGGATGTCAATGGGTGAAATTTGTTCTGCAGTGAGAAATTCAATAACACATATCTGCTTCGTACGTACTTCTATGTCAGACGCCATTTTGGTAGACAGCTCTGCTGTCGCTATCTGTCGCACGACAACCAAACTAACAGTACATTGGCGGGAAGGTTCAACCTTTGCTACAACACCACCAACATCCAGCTCAGACGTTACAGATTAACACACAAAAAAAATATATATATATAGGAGGCATTATATACGGAACGCCCTTCTAGTATGTATAGAGAGAGTGAGAGGGAAGGGTAAATGCTTAAAAATACTTCCTCCTATAATTCCGCAGTGACTTTCCGGGCGTCGTATATGTATTTCAGCCTAGGTTAATTTTGTACATCAGTGCATATGAAGCCAAAATTAAGCAGCCTCCGTAGTCTAGGGGTAACGTTCCCACCTCATGACTCAAGGTACGCGGGTTCAAACCCGGCGGAGGTCGTGGAATTTTTAAGGGCGGAAAAAATTCAGGGAACAAGTCCTGCGGAAGGGACTGTAAGCTGTGGATCCCGTGTCGTAGATTTACGGCACGTAAAAGATCCT